CACTGAAACCATCTGAAACAGTGAGCCAAAGGAAGTCCTTCCTCCTCTGAGTTGTTTCTGTCGGGGTTCTGTGGTGATATTTTATTTGTGTTCTAACAAATAAAGCTTGCCTAGAGATCAGAGGATAAAGGCAGCCACTATATTATATAGAGAGGTCAGGCAGTAGTAGCACACGCCTTTAATCCTAGCATTCGGGGAGGCAGAGATTCATCTGGATCTCTGTGAGTTCAAGGCCACACTGGGAACAGAGCCAGGCAGGGTAGCACACAAGCCTTTAATCCCAGCACTAGTTAACCATAGAGGTCTGTACAGACAGACAGGAAGTGATAGAGGTGGGTGGAAAGAGGAAGTGATGTAGCTGGGCAGAGAGAGAGGAAGTAAGATGGCAGGGCACAGAAAGGTATATAGGTGTGAGTATACAGGAAGTAGCTCTCTTGGGCTGAGGATTTCCTAGCAGTAAGAACTTGTGGCTTGGCTTGTTCTGTTCCTCTGATCTCTCAGTTTTCACCCAAATACCTGGCTCCCGGTTTTTTTTTTTTTTTTTTGTTTTGTTTTGTTTTGTTTTTATTAATAAAACTGTTTAGCAGTTTGAGTTACAGGGTTCTGGTCACAGCAACAGTAAAGTAACTGTCACAGTGAGTCAACTCTTCCTGACTTTCTGAAGTCATGGCCTCCTGCCATGCTCCCATGAAGCTGTTGCATGAAGCTCTTTTCTTTATTTTTAAGTATTTACTTTACATGTACGGTGTTTTGCCTGCATGTATGCCTGTGTACTAGGTGCATCCCTGGTCCTGTGGAGGTCAGAAGAGGTGTCAGATCCCCTGGAACTGGAGTTATGGATGGTCGTGAGTTACCGCATGATTGCTGGGAGTTGAACCCAAGGCCTCTGCAAGCACAGGTGTTCTTAACCACTGAGCCATCTCTCCAGCCCCTGGTTTACTTCCCTCATAGCACTCACCATTATCTGAAATAATCTAATTTCTTTGCTGGTCTGTTGTCCATCACTGCTGTGAAAATATGATGGTGGTAGCTTGCAGAGCTTCCTCCATGCTTGCCAGGCTGTCTACGGAAGGTTGTACTGCATCAGAGCTCCTGGCTGAAGAGCCAGTGGGGTTGCTGTGTATTTTGCTGATTGGGTGGCTGTGCCTCTGTGGTGTGCATTCAATAAATATTCTTGGAATAAAGGACTGATGTGGACCACTTGCTTATTTCGTCTGCCAGGACCTCCTGTCAGTTCTCTTCTCAGAGTCTCATTGTCTTCATTTGGTCAGGGGATGATTAACATCTGCCTCATAGGATGGTTATGAGAACCAAACGAACTAGCCCTTTCAAAAGTTGGCACAGAGCTAGGTGTGGTGGTAGCATGCACCTTTTATTCCAGCACTCGGGAGGCAGAGGCAGGTGGATCTCGGTGAGTTTGAGGTCAGCCTGGACTACATATAGTGAGTTCTAGGCCAGCTAGGGCTGCATAGTGAGACCCTGTCTAAATAAAGTAAATAAATGTATGTGTCACAGATATTATTACATCTATACAAACTATCCAGAAAAGGCAAATCCACAGAAGCGGAAAGATCGGGGTCTACGGGAACCTGGGGCAGGGGACAGGAAGAGCAGCTGCTTGCTAGGTAAAGATGTCCTTTGGTGTGAGAAAAGTCCCACGATGACCATAAGCGCTGCACAGCATTGTGATCTCCAAGGCTGCGCAATTCCATGCTTGTGAACGGCTGACCACTGAGGCCCTGAGAACTGGGTTGGTTATGTTACAGAAATATCTCCATTTAAAAACAAGCGATTGGGATGGGGCAGCAAACAACAACAACAACAACAACAAACAAATAAACAAACACACATGGTGCCTGGAACACGGTTGGTGTTGATTAGGTGTCAGTGAATGACTTCTTTTTTTTTTTTTTTCAAAAATAAAATACAACCCACTTTTCCTGGTGCCTCCTTGTCCCACCTATGATGACAACTATTTCCTTCTTCATTCCTCATCTCAGGCTTTCCATGTTGTCTCCCCCTTTCATGGGATTCCTGCTTTTCCTCAGCCTGCACCCCAATCCCTGCCCACACCCATCTTTCTCCCAGGCTCCTCACCTGTCAGGTCCCAGTTCATTAATTGATTTCAGAAATATTCATCGTTATCATTACAGATATTGGGGATATGATGATAACAAGATAATAATAAGATAATAAGATACCATATCACAGCTCAGAGCTCACTGAAAGTTTCCAGAAAGAAACCACAGCACTGGGTTGTGGGAGCAAAGGGCCAAGGCAGTAGAGGGGTGTGGTGATATTGTGTCCCCCAGTTTATTGTGCACCCTAATAAGCTTACCTGGGGTCAGAGAACAGAACAACCACTAGACAGACATAGAGGCCAGAAAATGATGGCACACATGCCTTTAATCCTATCACTTGGGAGGCAGAAATCCATCCGGATCTCTGTGAGTTCAAGGCCACACTGGAAACAGCCAGGCATGGTGACACATACCTTTAATCCCAGCACTTGAGATCTCATGTCTTGCTTGGGAAAGACACATGCCTTTAATCCCAGAAAGCGATGGCAGGAAGTAGAAAGATATATAAGGTATGAGGACCAGGAACTAGAGTCTTTTAAGCTTTTAGGCTTTTAGCAGCAGTTCAGCTGAGATCCATTCGGATGAGGACTCAGAGGCTTCCAGTTTGAGGAAACAGGATCGGCTGAGAAGTTGGTGAGGTGAGGTTAACTGTGGCTTGTTCTGCTTCTCTGATCTTTCAGAATTTACCCCAATACCTGGCTCCCGGTTTTGTTTTTTGTTTTTATTTAATAAGACTGTTTAGCAATTTTTCTACAGAGGGGAGAAGAGGACGCATCACCCAGATTAGGGAGTGGCAGGGGAGTTCGGTCTAAAGCGTTCCCAAGCTGGGACCCTCGAAGCGAAGAGCCTAAGAGGAATAATTTTCTGGGGAGAAGCTGGAGATAGATGTGGGGCAGGAGTTGGAAGTGTCGGTGGGGAAGCCAGGGTCACAGTGTGCAGAGCGTGGGAAGAGGGTTCACTGCAGGTCTGGGCATTGGAAGGTGAGCAGAGCTGGAGCACAGTGTTGAGTGGGAAGGGGCAGGGTGATAAGGGAAGAGTAACACGGCAAAGGGCTATTCCTGGGACTCCAGCCTAAGACACTCTAGGCCCTGCATACAGACTTCTACATTTCAGACAGTTTCACCATGCCCCTGCTAAAACAAAGCAAAACAAAATGAAAACTCTGGAGACAGGCTGAGTGTGGTGGCACATGCCTTTAACCCCAATGCTTAGGAAGCAGAAACAGGTGGATCTCTGTGAGTTCAAGACCAGCCTCCACTCATAATGAGCAGCCTAGGTCACACAGAGAGACCCTGTCTCAAAATAAAATTAAACATACAGGCATATCCCAAAACAAAACAACAGCAACAAAAACATTCTGAGACCAAGATATCTTGGAAAGGAAACAGCTGAGGGATCTGTTGCAGATGCTAGCCCCAAAGGACTTATGACAAGTTGCCATACCCCCTACCAGCCATGCTAGGTAGCAGTTGGGGTGGGGATGGGCAGGGGAAATGAAAAGCCTATGTGAGCTAAAAAGCCACAGTACTTCATAATGAAGATTAAGACAGGCATTTAAAGCCAAGCTATGGAGCTTGCCTTTTATCCCAGCACTTGGGAGGCAGAAGCAGGCTGATCTCTATGAGTTCAAGACCTGGTCTACAGAATGAGTTCCAGGACAGCCAGGACTGTTACACAGAGAAACCCTGTGTCAAAAAGCAAAACCAAACAACAACAACAACAACAACAAAAAGGACAGGCATTTAATTTAAGGCATTGAATCCACACTGGCTCTAGGTAAGAGGGGAGGGATATTACCCACAACTGGGAAAGGCTTTGGGATAGGCAGATTGCCTGCATGGAGAAGTAACCATTGTATCTGGATAAACCAGGGCTACAAGCAGGATGTCTGCCCCTCGATGTCTTAACACATATTCCGGAAGGTAAAGCAGACGTGTTTGCTCTTGTAGGCCTGTAGCCTGTAACTCATTAACCCTTCCCACACCTGCTGTCCTTCCTTCCAGCTCAGCCCTTTGCCAGTAAACTGAGGACATCTCAGAACTTTATCATCTACATTGCAGTGCCTCTGGGAAGCCCTCTCTCCAGCTGTGCCCCACTGGTCCTGGATCCTGGTCCACTCAGTCCCGAGCATCAGTTGCACAGGCAGTCCTTTCTCCTTAAATTATCTATTGATCCTGTCCAGCTCCAGATATTATGCTGAGTACAAAAAGCCCAGAGAACCTCAGAGGCTGTCTTCCACCCTGGGAGAACATCCAGGTAGATAGAGGAGACAGCCTAAGCAGAAATAAGCCCAAGATCCCGAGAAGCCCCGATACCAGGAGTGTCCTAGGCTGTGCTGGACAGCATAGAAGTGACAAGATAGAGCTGTATCTTGAAGGACAATGGGGCACCAGTCCGAAGGATCAAAGGAAAAGGGAGGTGGGGTCAAGGGAACCATGGGACCCAGATGAAGTTTTGGACCCCCTGTGCAGGTACTTGAGTGTAGACACACACACACACACACATATACACACATCATGTGTTAGCACTTTGCAGGGAAGTTTGGAACATGCTTGGTCCCTCAGGCTCTGCCTGGGAAGACAGCTCATTGCTCTCGCCCCATAGTCTCATCTGGCTCATTGCCTTCGCAGGCCTGTAAAACTCCCAGCTTCAACTTTGGACTTTGTACCGGCACTAGAAATCCATTTGTTTATCAGGGCTGGTAGCGGTGCCTGCTGAGGTCTGTCTCTGAAGGGGCAGGCTGGACCCTTCTGCACTCCAGTTGCGCTAATCCCCAATATTGGAGGAGGGAGCAAGCCTGCTGTCCCTCAGTACTTGATGAGGTGTCTGATGAGTCTCTCCTGCTGAGGGCGCTGCAAATCCCGGTTGCTGCCCCGCCTTGCCTTCACCTGCACTTCCGCCCCGCCCACCCCGCTACAGTTCCAGGAGAGTCAAGCTTCTGCTCTGGCCCGCCCACCTGTCCAGGTTCAGCAGTCCCAGCCGGAAGCCACCTCCACGGGCTGTGCACAGTGTCTGAAGGTGGGAGCCGAGAGGGGGGAGACCTTGGGGGTGTGGGAACGGGTCCTCTGGTCTCTTCTGATCCACAAGGGCTCCTGTGCGCAGCAGAGAAACTAGATCCAGTTGGGGGCGTGTGTGTCTGTGCAGATCAGGAGGGCTGTGTATTGTTGTGTTGTGGGTTGAGAAGTGACAGTTGGAGGGGGTTGGGCTGTGAGTTCATTTGGAAAGTGACTTCGTGTGTATCTTTGGAAAGTATTTCCAGAGCAGGGCGGGGGAGGAAGGGAGCAGGTGTAAAACATTTGAAAAGCCTCACTGAACTCACTGCAAGGTGTAACAGACTCCTGTTTCTTGAGTACTGAGTGCCCAGGGAGAGGTCCACAGAGGCAACCTAAGATTGCTTGCGAATGAATGAATGAAGTAGGTATGTCTCCTTCCTGAGGCTTGCCCTTCTCCCGTCCAGGCACTTCTCTCCCCACCGCCTCCATTCACTTTACAAGCTGTGCGCCAAAGCCCAGATTCTCCCAGCTTCTCCCTGCCCCCAACCAGTCTACCGGAGTCCTCTGCCTCAGGGAAGTGTGTGGCTGGTGGTGGCCAGTTCTGACTGGATGCTGAGGAGGCAGAGGTCACCTATGGACCCTGGAGTAACCTCACCTGCAGGGAGGACTGATTTGGCGATGAAGGATGAAAACTCAGAGAGCTGAGGGGTAGATGAGGTGTGTGTGTGTGTGTGTGTGTGTGTGTGTGTGTGTGTGTGTGTGTGTGTGTGTGTGTAGGGTGGGGCTCTGTGGCCTGAGGGCCCCATGATGGATTTTGAGTCCCCCAACCAAGAACAGGACATATTTGGCCTATGGGGAGCAGTGAAGGAGTTTCCTCAGGTGATAGGCTCAGAGCTGGCTCTGGGAAGTGGATTGGAGGTGGTTACACACCTGTTAGGAGATCTTGGCAGGGGGACTGCGGCTACAAGGACAAAGTGTGGGTAGCTTGGACACGGCTGTGGCGGAGGGTGGGAAGGAGGGCTGAGTCACTGGAAAAAGAGATGGTACATCACGAGTGAGGGCATCCTTTGGGGTATCACACAGAGGAGTGAGTGTGGCTGAATACACCCCTAAGCTGGGTGCTTCAGTCCCTTGCCTGGCCACTCTGCCCAGGGACACCTCTGACTCTTGCCATCCTCCCGCGGACACTGCCCAGCCTCAGCTGTCTTGCTCTCCTTTCCCTGGCCATGCTTCAGGGTCACGTGTGTCTCTCTATATACTGTTGACCTCCTTCAGAGGTGTCCAAGCCTAATCCTATACATGTGATCTTCTCCAGCTACTCCCTTGGCTCAGATGCTCCTCCCCCAGGGTTTCCCAGCCCTGAGCGCCATGACCCTCATTGTGGGCTTTTCCTACTCAGGTGGTCGCCTGCAGTCGCTCCCTAGTATAAGCCCCACTGTGGTGGCAGAGTGTGGGACCCCTGTGGGTAGGGGTGAGTGAACAGGGCACTGGAAGGACAGGGGTGTATGGTAGGGGAGGATCCTGACACAGGAGCGGAGAGGCAGGGTGCCCTGACTGTCTGAGGATGACCGTCGGTTCCTGGGGTCTACTCCAGAGCTGGATAGCTCCGCACAATTGCTGTCCAGCTGCTTCTGTCCTGACTCCTATCCACTTGCCAAGCAACATGCCAGACTACGCTCTGGTGTCAGAGAGCTGAGTTCAAACTCTGGGGCCTCGGTTGAGTCATTTTCCATTCGGGGGCCTCTGTGCTGTCATTAATAAGGCAGGGATAGTGTTCATACTTATGTAGTGGGATTTTGTGAGCACAGTGCCTAGATCCTAAGGTGTGCTTACTAAAGGCATTAGGACCCCCTGTGTCAGCCCCTTTTAGAGCTGAATTCATTTCCTGGCAGCTTCTGTTCTCTTCCATGGACCAGTGGAGTGGGCAACGGTCCTGTCCTCAGCACCCTCCATCTAACCCTGACCCCTGCACCTCTGTATGTTTCAGGACTTGTGCCCCAGGGCTGCCTGGCGCCTGGGGTGTCCCTGGCGTTTTCTGACAGAGGCCGAGGCTCACCAATGTCGTCAGGCCTCTCCATGACAGAAGCAAACCAAAGTGAGTGGTAGAGAGGCATGGTGGTTGAGAATGGATCGGGTCCCCTGAGTTTCCCCCGGGGAGCCCCATCTGGGGACCTTTTGTAACACTGTCTCTTTCCGTGCAGCCGAGTTCTCAGTGTATAACACCACATCAGCAATGGCCCCTGGACTGGGCACCGGGGGCCGGGCGTGGCCCGTGCTGGTGGGGGTTGTGCTGGGGGCGGTGGTCCTCTCCATACTCATCGCGCTTGCTGCCAAGTGCCACCTCTGCCGCAAGTACCGTGCCAGCTATCAGCATCGCCCACTGTCGGGAACGAGGAGCGGGAACCACCCACAGGTGGGTGAAGATGAAGATGATGACGGCTTCATCGAGGACAATTACATTCAGCCTGGGGCCGGTGAGATGGACACAGCAGGCAGCCGGGACCACTTCGCTCTGTGAGCCCCATCTTTGGACACTCCCCACTTCCCTCCATGCCCGGCACTTGAAAGACAGTGATGCCTCAAGCCTCAGGGTCAGAAGTGGCTAGTACGTAAAGCTTGACCAGGACTCTGTTTTCCATTACTAGTCGCCAAAGTGACAATTCTGTTTCTCAGTAACTCTTCGCGTGGCTCCCTGCCGTCCCAGGATAAACCCTGACAGTGCATGAATGTGGGGAAAGGCCCCGGGAGCAGGCCTCTTGATTTCCTTTCCTTGCCCCCCCCTAGTTTTTACCGTAGTCACCCCCTGCCTGGGCTGCTTTTGCCCTTCATCACGATGGCAGCCCTGACCTACAAGTCCCAGGATTTCACACATGCCCCAGCAGAAGGCCGTGCCAAATTTCTTACTGAAAAAAATTTTCTTACCAAAATAAAGTATGTGACTTGGTTTTAATATGTCATGTTTTTTCACAGGAATTAATAAACCTATTTTCATTTTGGATTAACGTAAGAAGTCGTTCCTTTTACATTTTCTCTGATCCTAAACACATTGCTCATAGCTGGAAGACACTGCCCAGACTCCCTCTCCTCCAGGGTACCTCCAATGAGTATCTCTCTGGTCACAGTTTATTTTACCAAAATGATCTGCTTGCCCCCCAAGACGGGGTTTCTCTTTATAGCCCTGGCGGTCCTGGTCACTCTGTAGACCCCGCTGGCCTTAAACTCACAGAGTTCCACCTGCCTCTGCCTCCCTAGTGCTGGGATTAAATTTGCCATGCACCGCTGTTTTGTGCAAGTCCATGAAGATGGAGCGATGTGAAGGCGCATTCTATTAAGAGTCAAAGTGGAGCTGGAGAGACGGCTCGGGGGTTAAGACTACTTACTGCTCCTCCAGAGGATCCAGGTTCAGTGCTCAGCACTCACATGGCAGCTCACAGCCGTGTGTAACTCCGATTCCAGGGGATTCAACACCTGCTTCTGGCCTCTTCTAGAATTACATGCACTGGGGGTGCACAGACTTGCGCAGGTAAAACATCCCATACACCCAAAATTAAAATTAAAGCCAGCAATGGTGGTACACGCCTTTAATCCTAGCATTTGGAAGGCAGAAGTAGGCCGATCTTGGAGTTAGAGGCCAGCACGGTCTACAGAGAGTTCTAGGATAGACAGGGCTGCACAGAGAAACCCTGTCTAAAAAACAAAACAAAACAAAACAAAATTTAAGAATGAGAAATACTTCAGAGATGATTTAAAGTAGATGGAAGAATATGCATGGGTTATATGTGAATATTGTACCATTTTGTATGAGGTGCTTGTGTATATGGATTTTGGTTCTGTGGTACAAGGTTCCAAGAGACAGTGGCATTTGTTGAACGACTGAGGAGTGAATGTAGAAAGGTATGGAAATGGAGGCAAATGTGGAGGAGTTCATCAAGAATCTTAGTGATGGGAAGGCCGGGTGTGGTGGTGCATGCCTTTAATCCCAGAATTTGGGAGTGAAGGCAGCTGGATCTCTGACTTTGAGGCCAGCCTGGTCTTCACAGTGAGTTCCAGGACAGCCAGGGCTAATGTAGAAAGACGTCGTCTCGAGAAACCAAAAAAGAAAAAAAAAAAAAAGAAAAAGAAAAAAGAAAAAGAAAGAAAGAAAGAAGAAAACTGTGAGGCTCACAAGTCGGTCCAGAATGGGAAGTGTTTGCTGTGTGAGCCTGGCAGCCTGAGTGTGAGCCTTGTACAGGTCCCGTGCAGTGGTTCTCAACCTCCCTAATGCTGTGACCCAGTTCTTCATGCTGTATGTACCCTGACCATAAATTTATTTTGTTGCTATCTCATAACTGTTATTTTGTTGCTGTTACGAATTGTAATGTAGATACCTGATATATGATGCCAAGGGGTAGTGACCTGCATCTTGAGAACCACTGGTCTAACGGAAAAACTGACTCCAAAGAGCAGTCCCCTGACCTGTACACACACACACACACACACACACACACACACACACACACACACACACACACACGCAGTGGCACATCTGTAACCAAAACAAAACAAACAAAACAAAACAAAGTGACTGGGAGGGAAGGATGGCTCATACAGGCCGCCTTGAGGCGGGGGAGCTTGAGAGGGGAGGAACTTGAGAGGCGGGGAGCTTGAGAGGGAAGGAGCTTCAGTGGGGGGAGTTTGAATTAAGCTTCTTTCATTATAAGCAGTACCTGGCATAGAAACAAAGGGACAACTGATTTAGGAGGCAGGAAGCAGGTTGTCCTAGCCTTGTGGCTGGTGGCTGGCATTGTATCTGTAATGCTCTGTCATTTAGAGGGACATTGATGTGACTCTCCTCGAACTTCCAAAACCTTGAGGAGTCTAAGTTCCAAGGAATCAGGCAAGACACTGGTCCAACTTGGTCATGAATTCACCACTGATCTAATCAGCTAAGACTTGGGGGATGCAAGGGGCAGGGTCCTGTAGCACACGTGAGATTGGGTGTGGGGAGGTGTTGTCTGTTTGTCCCAGACAAGGGGCCATCCTCACAAGTCAGGTAGCTCCCCTGCCTGTGTCCACCCAGTGTCAGCCTTTGAAGGGAAAGTCCTCAGAGAAGGAAATGGGGGTGGAGGAAGTGGCTGATGCAGGGAGGGGCTTGAGAAAGGCAGGGATTTCAGATGGGCCACAGTGTCTGAGAGTCCCTAATCAGCCTGAAGCTGGAGTGGACTGTAGTGGCATTTGCTCCGCCCATGACCTTGGGCTATATGGCCTGAAGGAGGCGGTGCTTCTTGCCAGTGTACTCGACTTCTTAAAAGGAAGGGAAGAGGGTTCACAAGGTCCCAGCTCCCTTCTTCCTGGTGTGATTCAACCGCCAGGTGGATTCGCTCCTGGTCAGATCAACGGACGACTTCAGCTGCCTACTCGGTTCTGTATTTGTGAGTGTATTTCTTCAATTTATAACTTAATAAATTCCCTAATACTCCTTAAGCAGACTCCCATGGATTTCTTGTTTTAGTGGACAATACTAGTTAGGACCTCAGAAAGGGGGGCGGGGCGCTCCAGTTTAGAACAGCTGAGGCTCATCTGTGTCTTTTTTTTTTTTCTTCTTCAAAATGATAGAATTATGATAGACAAGCCCTTGGAAGCCTAGTGAGACAGCTGTTCAAGGCACTTGACTCATGCAAGTAGGACGCAAACCCGATGATGACCTGAGTTCAAACCCTGGAACCCACGTAAAGATGGAAGGAGAGAACCAACTCCACAGAGTTGTCCTCTGACCTCCCTACGAGTGCTGTGTACAAGCACATACACGGACAAACTGGTAATAAAGAAATAACTTAAGCCATTGTGGTTGCAGAGCAGAGAGGGAGCGGGACGAGAGACCGGTGGTTGATGAGACTTAGGGCCCGGCACAGACTCACTCCAGGAACAGGAAGGGGCAGAGTTGACTGAAGTCGCTGACACTGAATCTGGGGAGCTGCCCTGGTTTCTGGCTTGGCATCTGGCTACAGCAACAGGAAAGCAGGTTGGGGGAATGGCCATGATTTCCAGGGGGAATACCCAGGACAGAGGGTTCACCTGAGCGCCGTGCAGCCTGGGGACTCGGGTTTGGAGGCGTCAGCCATGTGGTCCTAGAGAGTAGCAATGTATGAAATTGTGGGAGAGGGCGATGGAGAGGAGAAGCTGAGGGAGGAGTGTCTGGCGGGCACGTTGTAGGGTTGCCTGGAGGTGGGGAGGAGGTAAGGAGAAGTCTGGCTCTTGGGGGTCTGAGTCGTCAGCTGTTCTCGAGTTCAGAGATGCTTTGACTCTCGAAGACTTGGGAAGAACACAGGCTTCCACAGCCTGAGACCCTGAAGGAGCTCTCCTGAAGAGTGGGCCTAAGGGGCTATGGACACATCCCGGCCTCTAACATGCTGTAAACAAGGTTTGACCTCCTCCCCTCCCCTCAGCCTCCACTGAGGAGGCCCTGCCCTGAGTGTGGTTCTGGGCCTGAGAGTAGGTCAACTGCCCACATCCTTACATATGCTTCAGGACATGGGTTGGAATTTGTGAGGACCCAGGAGGTGGTAAGTGCCTGGTTCAAAATTAGCAGTTGTTTTTCCTGCCCGAAGCACTCAAGTTCCACAAGGCTGGCTTCCTCCCAGACTTGCTGTTGGATGCCAGGCCTGGCTGAGCAAGACCCTGAAGTCTCAGAACCCTGGACCCTGTCCTAGGGCCTCATTGGATTCTTTGGGGGCAGTCTGTTCCTGTGTTCCGCATGCTTGGTTCCAGGCACGGGGTGGGGGTGGGGGGTACTTGACCTGGGTCATAGGCTCTGAGGGACAAAGGTACTGAACCACAGAGAGAATCATACCGTTAACTTGACCCCCTCTTTCTCATCCGGCCTCTTCTGGCTTCAGGTCCTGCCCCCAGCTTGCCACTGCCCACTCCTCACCAATGGCCACTACTTGCCATGCCCAAGAGCCTCCAGTTGAGACCTGGTTCTGGAGGAGAACCTAGCTTCTTGGCTGCCTTCAAAGGCATAACCGTGTCTCTTATGCTGCGTGAGGGAGGGGTTGTGAAAGCCGCCGGGGAGAAGTTTAAGAAACTCCCAGGCTGGGGAGAAAGCTTATTCAGTAGAGCTTAACACCAAGAGCACAAACACCAAGACCTCATGTTTAAGTCTGCATCTCAGAAAACATAAAAAGCTGGGCGTGGTGGCACACGCTTGTAATCCCAGGATGGGAGAGGCGGAGACAGGTGGACCCCTGGGAATCGCTGTCCAACCAACCTATCCCATTTGGCAAACATCAGGCCAATGGAGACACTGTCCCAAAACTCATGGTGAATGACTCTTGAGGACGCTTGAGACTGATCTCTGTTCCCCGCACAAAGGAGCACACGTGTGCACCCATGCATGCATAAACACACACACACACACACACACACACACACACACACACAAGCCCTTCTTACCAGCATCCTAGCAGTGATTTGAGAGCACAGGTTAATTCAAATTCCAGTTCTGACACTGAGATGCTGTGTGACCTTGGGCAAGTTATTGAACCTCTCTGTTCCAATTCTCAGTAAAATGGATATTGTAATGGTATTCACTTCATATTGTTGGTGAGACTGAATTCTATATGTAAAGCTGAGAGTAAGTGCTAACTAGGTCCCTGATGATTGGCACTCCACAATAGTTCCCTACAATAGGTAGCCAGCGTTCATTCTGGGGGAGGAGCTTGCTAAGTCTCTTCCCTTGTCATTCACTTCTTGTTGGAGATTTGAAAGGCGGCTTCCTAGGAAGGACTCAGAAGATCTGGTGAGGACAGCAAAGGATTTGGATGAAAACCTCCAATGCTGTAAAAACATTAAAATGAACAGCAAGAACAGCATCAGTATTGTACTTCTCCCAGCAGCTCTGCTGGACAGACAACCCTACAGGCTAAGGCTCAAACATCTTAGCTGCTACTTGCTGGCTGCACCCAGCAACCGATGCCAGGACCCATAATCTCACCTGGAAGTAGGAATAACACAGACTCAGAGA